AAGGGTGCTTGAGGAATCTTGTGTGGAAGGAAAACAGTTTTGTATCATTGTCACGAGTGCTAATACTAAGTACAAAAAAACCCAGTACTTGAATTATTTCTGTGTACCGTGCAAGTGACGTAAGTTTTTAGTTCTGAGGTTTTTGACTTTTACCTCTACTGACATCCAGAGGAAAGTCCCAGAGGAAAGATCTCGGCTTTTTAGCTTACTAAAGCTTTGAGTCAGGCAATGGAAGGAATTTATTTTTCTTTGTTGTATCATTTTGAAGGCTTAACTGTACCAGACAAGCAGGTGAAATGCAGCATTTCTCATGTTTTATTTTGGATCTTGTTAGGTGCCATAAATATTTTTCAATTAATTTGTACACGAGCATCTATACTTTCTTTAAATGTATTTTTTGTAAATAGTATTTACAACTCAACATTCTTTTATTGCAAAATCTTTCAAATTTAGTCCTCAATTTTTACCATTTATATTGAGATTGTCTTTTGTTTATGTATGAGTCTAGTAGTTAGAATTTATTGACTGTTACTTTTAGAGGCAGTGTTATAAAATTGTTCCTGACATTCATTTATGACTTTGTTGCTTTCTTATCTGCCTACTCTCTTCTTGAATATAAAATACAAAACTGTCAATTCTGGCTGCTGGCATCTGTGTAAAGCATGTGGTGTTTCTGTGGTCTTCTGGGTATCTAACTGAGAACTCTGATGTTTTGTTACATTTAGGAAGTTGATCTTAGTGTTACAGCAAGATACAGTAGAACCTGAGAATGTGTTCTTACTTTTGTTGAACAAACTAAATTCCCATTGATTTCAGTAACTAAAAACAGGATGGTTTTGCCTCTTCTCCTCCCATATTCTTCTTGCTGGGTTTATTTTTGTACATCAATGATAACCAGTATAGTCTTCCTAGTGTCCATTTCTTCTGCTCAGGATGAGCAAAGTTGTTCCAACACTTCAATGAAAAGCCTGAGGGGAATGGGAGGGTAACTGGAAATTTGTATTTCCCTTCTAACTTTTCTAACTGGTCATGCCAGTTGCTCTGTGGGACTAGTTATATATTGTAAACAGTTTGTTTTACCTGTTGTCTCCAAAATTATATTTTCTCACCGCAAACCCTGAATCTCAACTTTTTTATAAATGAAGAAGTTGAGACTGCTGTCAGCATGATCAACAGAACATTCCAAGTAACTTAAAAACTGGTAACTGAGTTCAAGGGGTATAGAATTTCACAGAGTATATGTGCTCCCCTCCCCCCTTTATTTTATGGAAACAAGCAACTGGAAAGGCAGAAGATTAAAATTATTGCCTATGTGTAGCCATAGGGTTTTCATGGGCAAAACTTCAGTGTCAGTGGAGCCTGTATGGCCTCTTGCCTCACAGGAAAGAAGCTGGGATTCGTAAGTTGCACTGCATACAGAGCAAGATTACTTTTGAAGTGCCTTCATGCCTTTATAGTCTGATTATTTTAGATTTTAGCCAGTTATTTTAGCCTTTTTTCTTGTTCAGAGATACTGAACTTAATCTTTCAATGACAAGAACTACTTACATTATAATGTAACTGTTAATTCAATCCTTTCTTCTCAAAGCTTACTGTTAACTCTAAAAAAGTAAAACGTATTCTTATTTGTGTAACTATCCGGATTTGTTGTCACTAACCTAAAATTTAGTAGCTGAAGTAAAAGAGCAAGTAGTAGGTTGTATTGATTAGTGTTAGACTCAGCATGGGAACTCCTTTAACCCAGACAGATGCTGAGAAGCCCACATTGGGCTTCAAGAGTCTTCATGTGTAGCCAGGCCAGGGGCAAGGCAGGCGTGTGTCTTTTTTCTAATAATAATGCAAAGAATTATCTCATCCGTCTCTGAAGTGCATGAATTATTTCTTTTTTGATGAAAACTCTGTAAAATCCAGGAGCATTTCTCTATTGAAAGTTTTCAGTTGCCTTAATCTAGTTGGCCAGTGGGGTAGAGGGAAAAGCTAGCCTTTTACTGTCGAAAAAATGTGTAGGGTAATGCACCTGTGAGCTGAAGCAGTTGACAGAAGTCTTCTGTTGTGATGATTCATTGTTCTGCAGTTTTGTCTTCTAGTACAATGTTGTTAGTAAGCTATCCATCAAAGGCTGAGCGCTGCTGATGTAACTCTTGTATGAAGCTGATGTGAAAAATTATCTCAAAGAATGAACAATTTAAAGAGCAGCAAATACAAAAAAAAATGTGCAGTATATAGCATCAAAGCTGGTGATTTAATGTGGCAAGATCTAAAATACTAAGAGACAGCAGTCCTAGCTAATCATCCAGGCTACTTCCAAAGCAAGTTTTCCCTCCTGCTTACCTTTTAACCTCACTTTGAAGGTGACTTTTCCAAAACTGTTTTCAGTTCAATCTTTTTCATTTTAATTACTCAGACTAACTGCTGTTTCTTTACATTGTCTGTGTTCCAAATATGTAGTTTGCTTCTTAATGTGTTTGATGTATTCTGCAAATGATTTTTTTTTTGTCTCTAGACTCTTAGAGAAGACATAGAAGGTATCTTCTTTCTGACAGTTTATTGATAAATTAAAAAAAAAATTATTTACTTATAATGGGGAGAAGGATAATACTTTGTAATACATTTTTTCTGTACATCTGTCTAGAACTTCTTACACGTCTGGAAAATGTACTGATATACTATTAAGCCATTTGTTTTTCCAATATCATTATGAGTCATAGTTTCCTTTGCACTTTTGAGTTTAGTGTCATGTTCTTACCCAACGTGATGATAAATAAGATTTTAGGATTAAAATTTTAAAACTTCAAGCTTTGGGTAACTCGACTTAATAAATTTTAAAAAAAAAATCCTCCATGTTGCTGATGCAGAATATATTTTCAATAAGCATGTATTTTAGTACATATTTCTAAATGTATTAAAAGTGTTATGAGAAACCGCAAGATGTGATTGATTCAATTCATGCTGCCTAAAATATAGGCTCATCAGTCTTTGGGTCTGAATTGGTATGAGGATACTAGGAAACGCAGATCCTTAAATTTCAAATCTGTGTTTTTACTGCATGCTAATCATAGATATTTTAAATTTTTCAGGGGTATGTGTTGGGAAAAAAAAAATTGCCAGATATTCATTTCCAACTTTCTTAACGAATGGTAATTATGTATATGGATATAGGGACAGCATCTTAATGCATCAACCCTAAAAATATTGATGGATTTTGAAAAGGGAAGTTCTGGGGCTTTAGGCAAAATCAGTGACTTTCACTTGGTTACTGTGCTACCGTCTTGTTTGCTAGCCTATTTGAACACAATGACAGTAATTGTTTTGTCTTCCCTTTTGTAGACAAGTGACATAAGACCTCCTGATTTTAAGTGCAGGTAGTGTAGTTTTTTTCCCCTCTTACTTTCACAAGATGTTTCCTCAGTATGGTTTGGTTTCAGTCTGTGGAAAACAACCATTTCCTATGATTGTTGTTTTCTCAACTACTATGCCATTGCTAAAAAATAAGGAATGCAACTTGTGAGAACATATAGGAATTTTGTAATTGGAGTATACAGGATAGGAAAAATTCATTAGGGTAATGAATTCACAATGTTAATTGTGAATTCACGTTAATTCATTCAATGTTATTTCACCTGCAAATCACTAAGTATTGTGAAGTAGGTTTTGTTTTTCTGGTAAAAAAAGGAAAAACTAGCTTGGGAAAGGGATGCAGGAGAAGCAGGAAAGGAAATAGATGCTCACAGGAAGTTGCAACTAATAGTCTTCTCTAGAGTGAATCACACTAACTTATTTCCTGGTAGAACATGCATTCTCTCAAAAACCTGTATTTAACATTTGGTGACAAAAGTGGGATGTTCACTGAAAATGTGGAGGTAAATGCATTCTCTTACTTCTTACAGAATATTTTGTCCTGCTTAGAAAATAAATTGTTTCAGGTTTGAAACAGTTTTGTCTGTCCTTGATGCAAGAATAAATGCAGAATTGCATCATCTGTTAGGGAGGAGAAGTTATGGTATAGCATATGTATTGTCAAATAGTGTCTCTGGTAGGTGACTCAGTAATAACTGAAGCATGCTTTAGTCTTTGGATAGTGAATAGAATCATTTATCAGAGCAACTGTTAGTTCAGTCTTTAATTTATTTTTCTTGCAGTCACTTTTGCTTCCAAATTCAGAATTTAACTAGACATTCTGCAAAGCACAGACTGAAAAGGTGTTTGATGTAAATTAGTGTTTTGTAAGGGAAAGACCAGCATTCTGCCTTAGGTAGGCTACTACGTTGATTCTTCTTCAGCCTCTAGATTCATGATAAATCCTTTTAGCGATGGCAAATGGAGCATTTTGCAATTTCTTGAAAGTAAGAGAAAATGTTTCTCTTAGTTTTACAGCTTTTGCATTCACAATTGCATAACTACTAAAAGTAGTATGAAGGCAAAAAAGATACGGTTATTGTTGACTTCATTTTTTAACTTTCTGGTATGTGAGTACTGTAGGTTATCTGTCATATTCTGTACTTTAAAATCCTCTCCTCTGAGGAATATCACTGTATGTCTCTATTGCCTTTAAAGTGTGTTGTAACTGAGTGAGTGATATTGTCAAATTTTTCTCCTTCAGTGTTGCCAAAATGTTTTTGAATAGCATTGATGAAAATGGGACACTAATCATTATTCACTGTGCTTTAAATTGGCAAAGCTCTGCTAAGCAAAGGATGTTTTAATACCTAAAACCTTGAAAAGTCTTTGTTATTTTTGAAGCAATGTATCTATAAAATATATGGCTAGATATAAATGTGCAATATTTCTATAATTGTGCATGCTTTTAATAGGTGGTAGCCTAATTTCTGAACAGGTTGATTTTATTTGCTTTAGATAAACTCATGTAGTAATAGAACCCTTATATGTAATGATAATCAAATTCTTTGGGTTTCATCTTTTAATGAGTATTAAAGATTGTAAAATAAATTCTGTAGTAGTTCTAATTTTTTTATTACTATTATTCTGCTCTTCTCCAACAGGAAGGAACTGGAGACCTTCAAAGGTAAATTCTATTTTTATTTTCTACTTCAATGTTTGCAAGTAATTACAGTAATTCTTGTATTAAGTGAAACTAGTAAGGAACTGTTGCACTTCTACATCTTACAGTGTTAATTTTATGTGAACCCAACAGGCTGTTTATTTTTCAGTTTATCTGTTCTTGCTGCTGTTTTCTTTGGAAGAGTCATAAGTGTAGGAAGAACACAGATAGTTTGTTGCCTTATCTAGATTTCAGAGATTGTCTGCCTAATTCAAGCCTTTCCTATGGTGTTCAATTTTGGAAGCTAAGGGCCTTGTCTTCGACTAGTTGATGTCTTTTCTAGCATGAATATATTTTCGACACATGCCACAGCCTGTTACTTTTTTGATTTTTATCTGGCTATTTCTAGGGCATTTTCACAGTATTATGTTATCAGACAAATATAATTTTTGTAGTTCGACATGATGATATATACAAATATTTGTCCAAAATATGATGTAATCGCTGGCAACTGTCATGTATTATTGCTTTGTCTGTGGTACATAGGTGGAACATGTTACCATTTGCAGTAAATCTTAAATTCAGGTTTACTCTACCTACTAATGTTAATGTTTGATCAGCTTGAGAATTGCCCTCATCTTTTACTTTGGTAGGATGTGACTAGCTTTGTGACTAATCTTTATGCCAATGAAGTCAGGTACATTGGCGTATGTCAATTAGGTGCCTTTTGAAATTGAAAGAAGGAGTGGAAATTTCTTTCAGCTACATCTTTGCCTTTTCAGTTCATTACTCTCTCATCTTTGTGGTGCTAAAAAAGGAAAATAATAAAGCTACATTAACAGATAAGCAACACAGATTATGAAAAATGTCACTTTATCTGTAGCTTACCATAAACAACGCTTTTCTTGATTGATTTGACAACTTTCAACACAGACTAACTCAATGTAAAACCAAAGATAATGCGAAGCTCATTCTGTTCCAAAGCAAGACAACTACTTTGTAGTACCTGATGCTTGTGAGAATAGTGAATCCTGGGTTTTTTGTTTGTATTGTTTAGGTGTTCTAAGTGATATTTTTTTTTTCTTTTGAAGCCAGGAGAACAGTTTCCAATGTTATTTGTCTCTTGGCTTCTTGTTATTTTAGTAGAGATTTTAACTTATTTGACAGTAAGTATTTTACAAAGATAATTCTTTTGATGGAAGAGGAAGGTGTTAGTTATGTGCTGACCTTGAAATTTATACCAAACTAAGCAACTGGTTCTATAATGGATAGAGAACCATACAGATTTCCAATACTATTGTGAAAGACTTGTCTTGGTAGCCAAGGGAAGGCTAGAAAAATACAGACAGAGTGATAGATGTTTGAAAAGGGGTATTAAACACCTGTCAGCCTATTTTCTGGGGGTTTTTGTACAATGGACAAGCTTGTACCTGACAGAAGAGAGAGGAGTAATAGATAAGAAAATTTGAAGAATGGTCTTGTCGAGCAAGTCTAAATTCTTTCTATAAGATGACAACAAGAAGATTTAAAATAAACAATAGATTCGGTGTTTTGACTTTGGCAACAACTTTCACTGTCTTGCCTGACATTTCCCACAAAATTGAGATTAAACTACTAAAAACCAGGTGCGTGGTTGATTGAACATGCATACTTGCAGGAGATGTTTTTGTGTTTCTGGCTTACTAAGTTGTTCATTCTCAGATCTGATGCTACTTGGCATTTTTGTTAACCTGGATTGAACAAGAAGTGTTCATTAGATTGTTTTCAGTCAGGTTTTTTTTGGCCTTTTGGACCTTACATCAGTGTCAGAGTATCTAGCATCAACTCATTGGAAACAGAAGGAGTAGGAGATTCTTAATCATGAAGGATTCATGATTACATAGTGACAGATGTTTGGGTTCTACAGCAGCTTTGCCTAATCTAACTGGTGGCTCCTTCTTGTGTTTTCTGTTTTGAGCTTGGGCACTTGATTTGCTTTAGTTTTGGTTGATGAAGCACACTAGAATAACTTGGTATATGTCTGTAGAAGTCCTGTCACAGAGGAAGGAAAATGCAGCAGTAAGGTCAGGCAGTGTGTCTAAGTTTAAAATTTAACACAGTAATCTAAAAAGCAAAAGCTTCTGGGGGTATATTACCTAACTCATTTGAAGGTTGTGGTGAGGAAGTATTAGTGCCATTATATGAAGCTTTTATGGTAAGAACTTATCTTGCTCATAACTCTGGTTTGTTGTATACAGGAAAAGTTGGTTCCAACTGAAATATGTTAAGTAGTTGAGTAGATGGTTCTTTACATTTTTATATTGCAAGTATAGACTACATCCTCAAGTCATTTATCTTTGCACAACTGTCCATAGTGTTGTCTTCATCAACATTCCATTCATTAAATACCGAGCTAGGGGTCTAGGAAAGAAGAACTGTTTAAAATACCTTTATATACACTTGCATCTTTCAATGCATGTGCACTTGGAAGCACTGTACATTAAATTATGTTCTAATGGAAAAAAACAGAAATGCCATTTTTTATAATAGTAACTTGTTATTTGGAAATCTGAATACCATATGTTAAAAAGTAATGGCATCCATATTAAGGGTGGTAAATGTCTTGCATAAAAATATATTTCATAAAGATACAAGTCATTCTATCTGAATATGCAGAAATTAAAATACCACAAAAACATTCCTTAAATATGTTTGCTCTAGAGGTTAAAAGAGGGTTGTATGCACACTTTTCAGTGTCCAGATATAACTCTCACATTCACCAGTGCTGGGTTCTTATGCCTTGCTCAGGGTAGAAAGTGAGTTTTACTGGAATGAAGAAATTGAATGGTCTAGTCTAAGGTTCAAAATAGCACAGCACTAAAAACTTGAATTCAGTGATACATCCCATCAATTACACAATGAATACAGAAAAAATGCTAATTAGATGTCGCGACCGACAATGAGAATACAGATCTGACTCGCAAGACAGGTGGGCAGCTTCACAGGCCTCTCAGATCTGTTTTAAAATTTTATTTCCCTGGAGTTTTGTGTATGTATAAATATCAATAGATATAGATACAGAGGTGTAGTCTGTAAACTTGTGAAATCTTCAAATGTCTGTAACCTTATAAACATTTTCATTGCCTTGTATATGCCTAGTATTTACTTATCTTAATATTGAAATAGAATCACCTTTCCCATAACCAAGAAACAGAATTGTTTCTGGTTTCATTTAGAACTTCCCACTCTGTGTGCTAAGGTACAAAGTGGTAATTCATTGACCTTATGAGTATATTCTTTGGGGATACCAGGCGTCATCAAGAAAGGGCTCTAACAAAGAATGTATATACCTGTTTGCAACACTGAAAAGTATTGGGAATCCTCTAACACTTGTTGATGTTACTACCTTTAAGGAGCATGAAATAAGTATGTAATACTATTCTAAGAAATGATTACTTATTTTTGTATTTGTCAGTGGAGATATTCTTTTAGAATTTGTTCATGTCATTTTCACGTTGGTATTGTAGATACCAATTGGCTTTCATTGTGAGAAGTCAATTTTATTTTTCTTCCTCTTGCTTTAAGACTTATTTTTTGCAGACATTCTCCTTTGTTTTTTGCTGTACCCACATTATATAGGGGCAGGACAGACCTCTCTAGTCACTCTTCTTTCAACTGCAGTGGTTTTCTGTTACAATGTAATTGCAATTGATTATTACTTAGTAATCTGTGATGCTGAGAAAGTGAAGGTTATAGGTTTTCCTTTCTTCTGTTTTCCTTTCCTTTCCTTCTGTTAAACATCTCTCTCTTAAGAAGGCGGGGAATGAATATGTCATGTTATTGTTGATGCTGCTTCAGCACCGGCATTTGTGTACCTGAAGTGTGAGTGTGCACTGGGACAGAACATCTCAAAGTTTGTGCAGTCCATTTATTTTTTTTTTTAGTACTTTATCTTTCAGAGATCTTTGCTGTAAAAGATGATGGGTTTATGAATGGAAACATTGGTATGCCATATGGAGTAGCCTGCAAGTCTCTTCCTAGTGCACATCCATTTCAGTCTTTGGAGAACTGTTTGCAGGAGCAGGCTTATGCTCTGTGCTGTCCTGTCCTGTCTGAGACTTACCAAGTTGCTAAAAAAAGGGGTTCTGTTGTGGATCTTGTTCTTGCAATAATAATTTTAATTGATATTTGTGTAAGTATGTGTATGACTTTAGTATTTGATGAATTGTACTCTTGCATGGTTTAGAAAGGGTGTGTATCATTTTCATTTTACAACTGAGAAACTAGAAATTAGCAAATATGTGGTTATTTTCTCCTGATACTTGAAACCTAGTGCATTTATGACTGCACTGAGATTTGAAATCATTCCACCATCTTTCTAGACACATGGTACCATTTTTTAATTTTTTTTTTCTTTTTTGAGTTAACCTTACTTTTGTTCCAGTGCAGCCAGGATTGTTTAGGAAATAGTTACATGATACTGTTAATCTCATAAGAAGATGGAAGGGTGAAGCAGATAATGAGGTAGGTAATCAGCAGTGAGATTGTGAGGGGGAAAAAAATAAAAGTTATAAAAGTGGTAGAATTGCACAATGGTAATAACATATGCTCTTGAGTTTACTTCAGAAATAGAAGTTTACTTCTAGTTTCTCTAAATGGGAACCGTATACATGATAGATTTAAAAATTGCTTCTGAAAGTCCCTTTTTATTAAAAGTTTAGGATGCAGTGTTTGAATTCATTTCTAGAAAGAAAACTAAAGCACTAGAGGCCATTTAGAAATCATCAGCACAGCACTTTTGAACAATGAAAGGTGGCAGAAACTTTGTAAGGGCAAATATGCACATGGCTTTGGCTACTGAGTCATGCATATTTCTAAGCTTTAACAGGATTAGTTTCATTCAAGCTCAGGGAAACAGGTCATATGACCATTTTCAGTACTTCTGTTTACAATACAACAGAATATGTTCTCAGCCTTTTGAATCAGAGATCTCTCCCAAACAAGTCCTGATAAGTTTTAAGAGCTTTATCAAAATACTCTTTGAA